TTGTTTATAGATTTATTATGATCAAACTTGGAAAATTAATTATTTTATACTAAGTTATTGATATTTTACTAAAAAATAAACACACTATAATAACCTACCTGTAGCAGCAAACCTAGGTACCTGTTGAATCTAATTTTATTTAAATACAATTAATAAAACATCCAATCAAATGGAAATTTGCTGAGTCTGCAGGTTTGCTGTGGCAGAGTTGTTTTACTCATAAAATAAGCTTTTATTTTAAGATTTTATAGTATCACACTATTTAACTAAATGGGATAAATTATCATAATCCTTGAAAGTAACGGTCAATTTCCATGTGTTTCACCTATTTTTGATAAATAGAAAAAACTAAATAGACTTAATAACAAATAACTCAAAAACCGTCGGGTTTAGAGAAAGATAGTCAAAACAAAAAATGTGTATTTTTAGATGACCTACATTTTGTATATTAAGCTTTTTCCTGTATCTCTAATAATAAAGTCACTATAGCGAAAAATACAGAAATATGCCGCCATTTCCCAATATGGCGGCCGTAGCACAGCTTCAATTTTAGGGGACTTTTAGTATGTTCAAAAGGAAGGTACACCCAACATCTGTACCAAATTCCCCGGTTGTGCTAATTTTTTTTAGGTTTATGGAATTTTTCTCTTATTTTTACTGCACATGTTCAATGCTATTAGTATAGGATTCGGGCCAACAACGTTATTTTGTTTAGGTTTATGATCCATACCGGTATTTTTCTAATATTTGTGCTTTTTACGAGACGATATCAAGACGATCTAGTTGCCGCTTAAGTACGCAATGAAAAAATATTTGTAATTTTTAGTGTGACTTTTTCGACCCATAAACAGTACAGATTGATGTGTGGCACATTAAGTTTACTACAGGTCTTAAACTCAATGGAATCAACGATGACGAAAACAAACCCTTACTAATCATAAACTCTTTGAGTACAAATGAGCTAAGCACACTCGTTAACCTTTGTAAACCTAACGATTTAAATAGCTTTAGATATGAAGAACCTTTTTAACTGTTGTTGGACATCTTCAAAACTAAAAAAATCGCTATTACGGAAAATGTCAAGTTTTTTCCTCACGTCAGGGCTGCAAGAGTCTGACGGAGTTTGCCAATGTTTTGAGGCAGAAAGTGAATGATTGTCAATTCCCCATTCAATATTTCCAACAAGCACTTATTACCAATTTTGTAATGGGAATATGTGATACCAATATAATATTCAAACTCATGGAGAATGATAATGAAACGTAACCGTAGTAGTGACAGTGGTGAGAATGGTGCAACGATCGATAACATGAAATGAAATAAATGAGATGAAATAAAATGAGATTTATTTTCCTTTAAGCACTGTACAAAATGCATTTGGGCATCGTCAAAAAATACAATTATACAATTATATACAATCACTATACAAAACTTGACCTAAGAAAAACCAAGCAAACCAGTAAGTCAAAGGAATACGTTAGTATCGTTATCAATAATGCTGCAGCTACCTATTGTGGTACTAAGTCTTTGGTAGGAATACAGGACGTTCTTTCAATTGGAGAGCCAGAAAATGTTTACCCGATCCTTTTTCTTAATATCTTACTCAATAACTAGATCGTAAAGATGCAGTTAATACAGGTAGCTGCGCTTCAATCACCTCATATCATACTTGGAAACAGATAGGAAACCACGATCTTTTATTAAGTATGCAGAATTTGACTTAATTTACGGGTCATTGTGTTAACCTTCTTGGTGAAGTGTATGTAGAAGCTGCTTTGCGAACGTAAAAACCAAACTCTGAGTTTTTGTCGCTTCGGGTGTCATACAAAATATTTTGGGAAGAGATTGGATTTTACCTTTATATTTCCACAAAATATCGCTTTCCGATTTGCTAAGGATATATTCAGAACCGTATAAACAAACCTTACAAGTAGAAAATAAGGATCAACAACTTGCCAATCTTGTAAATGAGTTTTCTGACGTTTTTCAACCCAATGAAAATAAATGTTCAAAGACACCTTCAGATAAAACAGAAGAGGAAAAGAATAAAGAAGAAGCCCCCAGCAGAAACCTGAAACGGAAATATTGTGTAGAAACCCGGCGTTTTCTTGAAGAGACTAGGGCGAAACGTGTGGAAAGTTAAAGTTAACAAATAAAGAATGTTGGAAGAAGGTGGAAAAAATTGCTTCTTCTAAAAATATCAATATTTTATATTCAAACATGTGAACTATCTGTATGTAGGTATGTAATGTTGTTGGATGGTAGGAGTACTAGCCTTTCCTTTACTCCAGTAATTTAATTATGTGAAATTTCACTCTTTAAACTTAGAAATACAAATGTGAAAAAAACATATATAGCTCATTATCAAGTTAACTTTGTTTAGTAATCAATGAATGTTAATTAATCGACGAATACTTCAAAGTACTTGTGTGGGACTAAAAATATGATAAATGCAGTCAAAAGCTGTTAATACTATTACTGTTTTCATAATTTGCTTGTCAGTTATATTATTTTTACGTTTAGCTTAAGTAAATTTTAATTAACTTAAGTGAACAAATATCCTAAATTCCTTATTAAAACTGCGGTAGCATCACATAAAACGAAATCAATGCCACAAAAATATGTTTACTTAAGATGACCTCGATACACAAACAGAGAAAGTCTGGCTAATAATATCTTGTCCCAGTCAGTTGGTCGACCTTATGTCAATACCAATATTTGAAGATAGCTCACACAAATATTGGTTTCCTCTGTATCACATTTAAACTGACCTCATGTACTTGCCAGATCCTTTTCATGTATATTTTAGATTGCATCTGCATATTAGGGTTTAGAGCCTCTTCAATTTATTTCTAAAGAAAAAATATCTCGCGCAAATTCTACCTATTGATTTTATAATATAATTACAATACTAATAGGGAATGAATTCAGTTTATAAACAAAACACTTTAGACTATGTTCAATAATATCGGATTTTACTTTTTCAATAAAAAGTATCTAAAAGTTATCTACTATGAGAGGTAAAAGCTAACGAAGGTATCTAATAATAACCTTTATGTCGACGTATATGTTGCCGGAAAAATCCAAATCTAGGTAAAATTGGACTAGAATGATCTAGTTTTTCCAGATCACCCTAGTAAAAACTATTTTGGCCTTCGTTTTTCCCAAGCTTTATAGCATTAGGAAAAACTAGTTTACCCTGGTTGAACTGTTAGGCCAAACTAGTTTTGACGGGTAGCGTCAGCACGATTTTGCAGATAAGCTTACGTTTAATTTATTTAGTATATTATATTGAGTAGGTTATTTATTTAGCTTAAACATTTGTTCAGTGCAATATATAGTCTTAAACACGCTTTTTAAACTCGTCTTTGCTCTCTCAATTCCTCCCCAAGTTCAATGACATAAAAAAAACCTAAAAATATGTTAAATAATGGATGGTAAAAAAAAACTGCAAATAATTAATAAAAAACCAAGACTTATATTAAATTATTGTAAAACATGTTGACCTTTAATGATTTTGTTGTTAAAAGTTTACAGCATTTTCTATCAAGAATACAATTGGATTTTTTTCAGACTTCAGTAAGACGTTATCATCCAAAGATTCATTTCTGAAAATGACGTGAATATGAAGAGTGAGATTTCTTTAAGAAAGAGTTCAAAAAACATCCTATTGTCAGTGGTCAATGACTTGTAAAATGTTCTTGCGCAATTCAAAATTTCAATCGAGTTTGTCATGTAACAATAATAATCGATAAATACATTTAGTCTTGTTCCTCAGAATATCCAAGTAATAATTATTCTCTAGTGATAGTTTAGTCTGGTCTGAATCAGGTCAATCTGGTTCTTCCCAATGCCACCCGGCCAAACCTACATCCTGTAATCTATAAGGCCAAACTAGTTTATCCTAAGGCGATCAGGAAAAACTATTTTATCCTAGTCCAAAATAGTTTGTTCTTAATAAGGTTTGCCGGGAAACATATTGTTATATTATGTGAACGTATTGGATTTTGGTTGTTTAATGTTCAATTATATCCTCCAATTTATATCCAAAATGTGAACAATGAATTTCGTTAATGGATTGATAAAAACACATTGCATGAATTTTACATTTAAGAGTTCGAATTCGGGTTTTTGGTAAAAAAATACAATTCAGTTTTATCTTAAAACCCCATAAGCTACTTATTACAATAAGTAGGATTATCTTTTTATTTTACTTTTTGACCAAGGCAATGAAGAAAAGTTGGGTGATTTTGGCAATCGAGATGGATTGACTACTTTGATGCAGGAGTTACAGATACTTCACAATCTCGATCAAACTTTCAGATGGCTTTTCTTTGTTTACGTTCCAGAGATCCCGGGGAAAAATAACGAGAAAAGTTGCCGATGGGTTCAAAGGATATAATGGACTTGGGAAGCAGCAAACGACCTCTTTGGGGACGTGGAATAAATATGGCAACACTACACCTTTCATACACACTTGTGATTTATTTGAGAGACTCGTGTTTTGATTTTCAATATCAAGATAAGTGAAGACACTTTGGAAGGTAGATTTAAAACTAGACATAATTTAATTCATAATCAATATACTTATAGAAAACATAGGATATTTATGATAAAAAGTAAATTCGTGTAAAACCAGTTACATTTCAAATGAAAATACATACATACAGAACAATGAAACTTAATATGGTAAAAGAATTAAGTTTGTAGCTAACAAACATACCTATTCCGAATTCCGAGAATTAAAGATCTTAATGCTATTAGTGGTATTAAAGCTATGTACTTACTAGAAAGGAATATCACTAGTATCAATAACATTCGGTATTTTCGAATCCTTCCTTTCCAGAAAATATTTACACTCAAATCCATGAAAATATTGGATAGAATAAAGGAAAACCTGAGTGCAGATAAATATCTATAACAATGTCAGTAGGTGATAGGTGGCGCGCCTGGTGGAGGTGGCGGGCACTAGGGGTGACGCCGACGCGGGCTCAGTCAGCTGAGCGTCCTCGGCGTCGCTGAACGTCCCGGCGCCGCCCCTCCGCACCGCTACAGACCACGCCGCCAGCCACACGCGTGAGTATGTCAGGGGCCCCACATGTGGCCACCATATGTGGTGTACTAGATCGCTAAAAAACACAAACATGTAAATTCTCAAACTATATAAACAAATTAAATAGTTTTTAATATTTACTAAACTGGCAAAAGAAATCAGTACTAATGAGTAATAAGAACAGTTTATTTATTTTCCTTGTCAAACGACAAGCTTTGTCAAGTTTAACTTAACATTAATAACTAATGAGCCCTTGGTGTCAACAATACCTCGGACAAAGTTATTTTAGAACTTAACGATCTAAAACTACCTGCATTTCGCACTAAACTCTAATGATATTATCTAAAGAAAAATCTAATGATTGATAGATATTAATATTTATCCAATTTTGTTTTTACTATCTTAGATTAAATAGCTACCTCGACAGTTGATTGTACATACAACTCAGTTACCATACCGCAAATAGTTCCAACTCTCACATTTTATTTTGTAGCTTATTGAATTATTTATATAATATATTGTTTATAAGCCCTAACTTGTATATAATTTACACGCGTGGTGTCTACCATAAAACACGCATGCGCCTCAGCGTACGCCCTACTAGAACGAGCCTACAACTCCATAGCAGTTTTTCAAATCCTCAATCGTGTACACTAAAATAACAGCCTACGTTTATTTTAATACAGTAAAATGTTACTCATGCCAAACCAGTTTTAATGATCTTTTTCCTAGGCCATAAGGCACGAGCCTGGGATTGTTTTTCACATTAAAGGTTGCGGCAGTATAACTTAGATCCTTGGTGGTTTGGCGGGATTTGAACCCGGGACCTCAGGGTCCGATGTTCCGCGCTGTACCACTGGACCAGCTCGCTACCCCAGGTCAAATTTTAATTAAAATTAGCACCATCAAGCTCAGTTTGGAAGTCGTATCAAGCGGTTTTATCACCAATTGATGAATAAATGAATATATTATAGATTTTAAAAAGAATTTCGTCCTCAAGCTGTTCTGTTCTTGGGAGTTTTGGTTCACTGATTTATAGAGAGTAATCACCATGGTTTAAGACTGGGTAAATAAGATTGATTTTAAGAAGTATTATTTATTATCCAACTTTGTATAACTAAGCTGATAAAATTGGTGTAATGAGAAATGTGGCGTTTCTTCAAAAATGTTGTTTAATCCGTTGAATGTATTAAAGTGCAAAATATTTGTTCACTGTCTCGAAATGGATACAATCAAGCTGGTGGTTAATAAATCAATGGTATCGACGCTCAAATGAATATGTTTTCAGGATTAAAACTCAAAATATATTAAAATAATAACACAACAACACAAATAACTCTAAACGCAAGGTATAACTACAAAAATAATTAATAAAATGTAATAAGTTAATAGGTATATTATCTCAACTAATAATGAGGTAAACGATTGTCATTGAATGAAACGTGTTAAATTTTTTACATCGGTTAAAAGTAATAATCTTTTTTTAAGAAATTACCTTTTATTGAGTAGACCTACTCTGTTTGTATGGCGGCCAGTTAACAAAACTTCATTACAATAAAATATTTCAAAAATACATTGATCAAAAACATGAAAAAATATTGACCCCAAGGAATAAAATACTAGAATAAAAAACGGATAGGAGTTTGTAAACATTAATTAATTGAAACATAAAACTCTTTGAAATTGCGAACATAATATCATTGTGCATAGATAAAAATATCTCTACAAATTAAATTTAAACTCATAAAACAATAAATTAAACTCCAACATAATCAGCCATACATGAACGTACCAAATTAGTAGTATTTTGGTCGTTAATAAAAACTACGCTAAAGAAATGAAACACTCATAACTACGTTTTTTATCTTAGTATTTAAATTAAAGTATATACAAAAATTCTTATAATTTTAACACTGTTATCAGATTGTTGTTGATAAACAAGTTCTCAATACTATCTTGGAGCAGATAATGTGTCTTTACATCAGGTATCGGAGTCCTACATGCGGGGAATTCAGCAGAACCAGTAACAGTGGGGTTTTACTGCCCATTTACAGTACGAACAACGTTCAGGATGGTTTTAACTGCTTGTGCTGAGACATGTTCTCTTGAGGTAGCATTTCTACATTTTATCCTTAGGTGTAAAAAAATCAATAGGTTAATATTTTTGACAATAATTTAATTTGTATGCAAAATGTTTTTGGTTTTAAATTGTTCTAAATAGTATTATGAAACGTATATTTTTTATATTTGTATGGCAAGATGACAACTTTTATTTCCGTTTGTTTATTTCTCAAAGAGTGGCTCCTCTTGCGCCTATGCCATTAGCTAAATGAAAATTCTTGAAAATGTTGGACGTATTTATTGTTTAAAAAAGTTTGTTTCGGTTTATTTTATGTAAATATCAATTTCTTTTATCGAATTGGGAAGAAATATTCTATATGCTAAACTTAGAAGTAAATAATTCAAAATAATGTTTTGCACTCCCTTTAAACAGATCAATCAGAAGTAGTACACAATGTGTGTTCCTACACATTTAAAACGTAAAAAATAATTATTTATATTATGTTATACGTATAGGCCCGTAATAATAAAATATTTTTGTAATCATTCAAATCACAGTAGGATTTATTAAGTCACAGTGCAAACATAAACAACATTGTTTAACCTCACCTTAAATAGTGAAAGCAGTGTTTGACTCTTAAGTAGTTCAGTACAGTTTCAATAATACTATGTGAATTATGCGTCAAATACATTATTTATAAAATTAATCTACGATTTATTTAAGCGAATATAGTCTCCATCATGAGCTTTTGAAATTGAATGATTGCATAGTTACAAAAGGTAAAGCCTAGACATTCAAAATCTTTAACGCTTTTAAACATGTGACTTCATTACCAAGGAACCTATTTTTGTGTAACGTTTTTGATTTATTAGTGTTTTATAAAGGCGACTTGTGTTTTAGTGGCCTTTGAGTTTTAATGATAACCTTTTGAAGTAACGACAACCAGCAAGGGCCCCTTTCCGGTGGGTTTTTTTTTTTTTAGGCTTCCAAAGGTCTTATCTAAGAATTGTTCTAAAGAACCATACGCGAATAATACCTCACTTGCAATAACGCCCTAAAGGTCCACTTTCTTCTACCGACCTATATGTGGACATGTGATATCGGGACTCAGCTCGCAGGACTTGCTTAAACAATATGTCAATTTCATTTAATCTTTATATTCGGTTATTTTCAAACTGAGAACCTTGTTCCTTGGAAAAATAGTCAAACTCTGTCTGTAACCGTTCGCTTCAGCAACATTAGAGGATCATTCTTGTTTAAATTTATTTTAAAATACTAAATTGTATACTTCGGACTAAGTCACGTAGTTGTTGAACGCAATTAATTGTCATATTCAACCCTCCCCCCACCCCCAACCTTGTACCTCAAAATGGTTTTACTTTTCCCGAACATTATGGAGACTACTGAATAAATTAGAGTCAAAAGAATATAATTGCTCAGTATTAGAAGTCGTTATAAAATAAATCTACATGCCAAAGGATTTGGTTATATAAAAGAAAAATCGCACCGATCATTCAATAAGCAAATTTCTTTTGCTAATAAAATGGCTACCCATACCTCATCATTTTTTTTCTGAATGACCACGAGAAATCAAACCAAACGCATTGTTAGAAATAGCTTGCACATCTCTTGGACTATGGTACCATGAGTATTTTACAAGATATATAAACACGTTTTGTTTGAATTGTACAGATATATAAAGCCACCAAATAATAAATTTGGTCGTCATCATATAAATAAATTCAAAACTGGAACGTTTTAGGCACTCGTACAAGTTATTAGACCTAATGTCTAGAAGAATGTCATTTTTTGTTTTTGAAATAAGTTTGAAGAATGTAAAATCATGTATTTCTTCCCAAAAAATATGACAGTTTCTATGACCAGTTTCGTAGAGAGATGGCACCTCAGTCGTACTGGTAAAAGCATCGGCAGTATTACAACTGCCTAAAACACGTCTGTTGCAGCATATCTCGTCAATTACTAAGCAAATCCATGTTCTTCATCGCACCCAAGGGTACTGGTTACTTTTTTAACAGTTTGATACCCACAACACCCAAAGTTACTGGATGGTTTTCAAACTCACATATATTTTTCACTAGTCTTCTGTACCTACCAATGCTGATCATTTTAGACAATCCTTACTCAATGTAGCGACCTCTTACTAGTTGAAAAGGAAATGTTTATACACATATATATATTCAATTTATTTACTCATACGATCAATAATAAATAGTTCATGTATATAATCCATGATAGGAAAACTATTGAGTAAGATTTATTCCTTTTGTTTAATTTTATTACACTTAAATCTTCAAATGTTATGCTTTAGTTTAAACGTAGAAGTTTAGTTTTTTTCAAAAGCACTAAACTATACTTTGAAGTAGTTCTATATAAAAATGTGTTCTCAAACCCCAAATAAAACATCGAAATTTAAATGAAAATTATTGTCAAAATAGCTATACTGATTTTAAGAAAAGATAAAAGGGTTAATTTAAACCAACATTGTGTCCAATATAAGATATATTAAAAAAAACCGACACAATACATTGATTACTAAATCACAGTTTGCGTGGATTCCTGTTCTGCTCAGCTTGCTACTAATGCTACAATTCTCCTTTATGGCTCTAGGTAAAAGGGCGTAACAATCGTCTGGATTTCTTCTAATCTTGCTGTTGTTCATTTCTCTCTCTGCCAAGCTAAGATATTTCTTGAACACCAAACTCAGCTCATTGTAAAAAGTCTTCTTTTATACATTTTTAGTATGAAAGACATTGTTTAAGCTTATTAGTATTTTTAAATGGTTTAAAATGACGTTTGTAGCATAGGGGTTGGTTAGAGAAATTGATTATTGGTTGCAGATGTAGCTATGCAGTCCTAAGTCCAAAAATTAGGGGGTGCAAACAAAAAAGTAAACGAATAATCTTTTTCCATTATATATTTCTATAAAAGTTGTATTATAAC